ATCTCTCTCTCTCTCTCTCTCTCTCTCTCTCTCTCTCTCTCTCTCTCTCTCCCCCCCTCTCTCTCTCTCTCGCCTCCGCCCGAGCGCGCGCCGTCCTTCCGGTCTCTACCCCACATGCGTCTCTTCGCGGGCGCGCCAGCTTGCTTGATTATTTCGATCGAACCTACACACCACCCCGTTCCCCACACCTCGTTGTGTTTCCTGAGGCTGCGCCGGCCCTATGCGCTGGAGCCCGTCGCGGTGGACATGTGGGTGCACAGCCATGTTATTCAGAGATATGGATTCGAACTCAGGTATTCAACAGGTAAAGGGTGTCCCATTCAGCAAAATGGACAACGTGAGAGCCCCCGTATCCGGGTTATCTTGCACTCACGATCACCAACGAATACACGGACCTTCGCCGCCATCCCCACCAGCCAGAAGAAGAATTCAGTCTTTCGGGGCATCCATCAAAATTGAAACAATACAATGAAGATTACCATGGCCCCTTCGCAAAGGGGGAGGGGGGGGTGAGCACTCAGGAGGAAACAAGCACAGAAGAAGAACAGAAGAGAACGGATCACTCAACGTGAGTGGCACGGGACAGAAAAGTAGAATGGCCCCCTGCTCCACTACTCTAGACTGTAGACTTTTCATGAGTGACGCCTCGACATCACAAAACACCTGTGAGACAACTGGGGGATATCGCCCGACCGTTGCTGTAGGAAAATCGGACCGTTGTTATAGGAAAATCGGATGGCAGCAAAACCACTATGGATTTATATTTCGGAGTTGTGTTCATTTTGGTTTTGTTCTTTTTCTCTTTTTTTGCGAAGAATGCTCGGTTCTTTTATCCACAGTAGGAAGGCGGCTGGATTGTCAGTGGAAGGAGTGTCAGTTGAGTCCTTTCGGACCTTCTTGGTCCGCCTGTCGATTTAGACAGTTGGTTTCTCAGTGCGTACTCACACAGCGGTGGCAGTCTAGCAAAATCTGCTGAATTTTCTTTAGCAAAATCTGCTGAATTTTCTTTCCCATGTCTGCTGAAATCATACCTCGCCCCGTCACACATGGGTTGCAAATCAGGAAGAACATGAACGGTACTCTGGCAATTGCAAAATTGGTGCCTCGCATGGTCACAAAGGGCAGAAATTTTCTTTTACGAATTCCCAAAAGGCGATAGAGAATTTACCGCGGCCGAACGAGAATTTGCCACCACCTCTCGAGGTGGTAGCAAAATGCCCATCCCTGCGGCCCCCCAGGCCGCTGACAAATGCTACCCCGTTTGCAACTTTGGTGGTCGGAGAACCCTAGTGTGACTCCAACAGCATAGCGGATTTTGCGATTTAGCAAAAAAAAACGCTAGTGTGAGGATGCCCTCATTTGGGTAGGTAGGGTAGTAGTAGAACATAGTATGAGGGTAGGGGTTAATGGGAGTGTGTTTTAGTAGTTGGTGGGTAGGTTGCTGGTCTTCTTTGGGTTGCGAGGCTTTTCAGGCCTGGTGGCACTTTTCCTTTTCAGGAGAGGTTTCAGGGCTGCGGCCCAGTTTTGGCCAAATTTTGTGCCTAGACTAGCCTTCTCCTTTTAGGCCAGCTTTGCTCGTAAGCTAAACTGGCTGATGCTGCCAGGATAACTCCGGGTTGAATTGTGAGGTCCCCGGCCTCGTTTTGACAGAATATATATATATATATATAAGGGGGGGGGGGGGGGGGGGGGAAACAGACAGACTAATTTTGATTGGCCGCACTTCAAACGAGAAAAGAAAACTCAAGTACTGGAAGTGGTTGGTATTCCCCTCCTTTTTTTCCGATCTATTGCAACCCCATCGAGTACTTCATTTTTGACTCAGAATACAAGAATGTGCACGCTTCAGGGCATACTCACACTAGCACGCATTTTCATAAAATTGTACATTGTAGGTGATTTTTTGGGTCACAACGGCTACGTATTTTGCGTTTTCACGCAAATGAGCACGTAAATGTCAGCGGCTTGGACAGCCGCGGGGTTACGTATTTTTCGGGAACCTCTGGAGGTCCCCGCAATTGCGTATTTCTTGTAGACCTGTTTCTTTCTGGAAACAAAAGAAAACAATTCAATGTTTGGTGGGCAGCTCTCATAAGAAAAGAGGGGGGGGAAACAAGAAAAAGGGATGGATTTTTATGCATCGTGTTGTGTGACCCCTCGGCCCGTATAATCGCATTCCTAGAGCAGGTCGAGACTGTGTCCTTTCTGTTCTGTGACGTATACGGGTGTGCTGTGTGACTGGGAAGTGCTGTATAATCGCAAATTGGCTCACATATAATTTGCGATTGTACGTGCTAGTGTGAGTATGCCCTCGGTATGGCAAACTGCCACTTTAGTTATCCCATCCAGCACACAAAGGGTCTTGGTCACAGCAATCGTCAGGTAGAGCTTCTATCCCAACAGCACAGTGAAGCAATGAATTGATTCTGGCTTCAATGGGCGTTGGCGGGTGGCATGAATCTGGATGTTTTTTAGGGGAGGGAGCAGAGGTGGGGAGGGCACGGGTGAGGAGAGGTGACGGTGCATGAATCAAACATCACCATTTTTTTTATTTTTTTTTTTAACTACTTTTCTTCATTTTCAGGCGGTGTCACACCCGTCGTAGTACACCATCACTGGTGTGCCTAGTGTCCCAGTCGTTAGAATGGGCTGGCGCTGTCTCGTACTAGTGCACTAGAAACAAAAGAAAACGCTCACGAAATTCGGGAGTGCTTCTAAAGTGTGGCCATATAGGGCCTCACTCCACTACTCTTGACTCACAAAAAACGTTGTGAGTGCTTCTAGAGCTGTCAGACCCCTAACACTCTCGAAAAAAGAAGCCTCACTCCACTTACGGCCTCGCCACACCACTCCCGACTTGGGAAAATTTTCGGAGTGCTCCAGAAAGTGAAAACCTGCTTGGGAGTGTCTTTCACGACACTACAGTCTCGACCCGGTCGCGCTCCAAGTCTGAAAATGCCATTTGCCACATGTAGACACAATCAGTGTGAAGCAGTCTGGCAGAAGTTGTTTGTCCCTTCCAGCTCCGCTCCCAAATCTGGGATGAAAATCAGAGGAGCCAAGGAGGTCTCTCGAAAAGGCAACTTCGCAGGCGGTGAGTTCGGGAGTGCTCTCGGACAGCTCCCGAATTCAACCTGACAGGTTGAACTCGGGAGCTGGTGTGGCGATGCTGCACTCTCGAAAATGGCCAAGTCGGGAGTAGTGTGGCGAGATCCTTACTCTATCTGGCCACACTCTAGAAGCACTCCCGAATTTCGAGTTTCGCCATTTCACAACCTGGGTTGTCCGTCCAAACTCAAGGCTCACTCAAGGAAAACCAAGGCGTTTCAAGGGTCCTTTGGACCTCCCTAAAAAAAACCGCCTTTGCAGGCCGGTGCTATAGATCAATCTAGAGTGAGAGGGACCGACCCGCTCTGACAGCTCAAGAAATGAAAAATTTAAAGCCAACTTATCGAGTAAGTGGACCGATGGCGACTCTATTACTTTTTTTAAGTCGCTCTAGCAGCTCTAAAACAGGTTTTCAAACGCCCATTTCTTAAGAAAATGCAATCGTGCCGCACTCAAGAAAAAGTTCAAATCTAGAGTAGTGCAGCGAGTTTCATAGAGTACGCGGAGCGATGATTCGTTTTTCGAGAGTGTTAAGGGTCTGACAGCTCTAGAAGCACTCACAATGTTTTTTGTAAGTCTAGAGTAGTGGAGTGAGGCTCATGGTTCCTTGAATCCACATCTGGCCCCTTATTCCCATCTCTCTCGAAAACCTTGTTGAGTGTCCCTGGAAGATGTGGTAAGTCCTCCAGGACATCCGTTAAAAGTGGAACGATACAAAAAAGATTAGGTCCATGAGGATGGCCTCTGTGACAAGGCACCACGCACAAATCGAGTAAGGGATAATTTCGAAAATCCCCCCATAAGTTGAGTTATATGCTAAAATGCCCCTAAAAGATGTGGGTAGACGGGCATGCTCTGACAAAAAAAAAAAATTATACTTTTGTGAAAAATATTGGATTCGTGAAAACCTCACATTTTTTATAAAATAAAAAACTAAAAGTCAAACCGTTATTTTTGACACAAAAAGAGAGCGTTTTTAACTGT